TGAACACCATCTGCTACATTTTAGAGTATATTCTGCTAGTTTGTTGTCTAGGCAAATATGCACTTTTTATACAAAAATGGTCTGATATTACCCATACTGTTTTGTAATACTTTTTCACAAAACAGTATGAGAATTTTTTTCATAGCACATTCCACTTTTATTTCAAAGTTGTTTAGCTTAGGAACAGAAAAGTCTGAATTCCAGGTAATTAAAAAATGCACTAGAATCTAAGCGATTGTTTTTCCAGATGCAATTGTTCAACGAATTTGTGAACGCGGTAATGGAATCACCACTAGCCATCCACCAGCAAATATCAGATTCTTAGCTATGCTGTGTATTTAAATATTTGTGGTACTAGAGTTTGAAAACACACACATGTTCAATGAGAGTTGCTAAGTGACTGAACAAAAATATCTTGAGTTATTTCAGTCAAATGAAAGTAGCAAGTCTTATCTCATTTATTTGATTCTTGTTTGCTTTTTACATGGCTGCACTGACTAGCAGTATATATATATATTTTTCTTGTTAATTGGGTCATAAAGTTGTAGCATTAGGCGCGTTGAAATCATGACATATTTGAATTTCAAAACTGCATGTGATCAATTCTGTATTGTTGTAGTTGACTGTTATCTCCTGGACTTTTATGCTTCAAAGTTTTTCTATCTGGAACAGATATTAGGGAACAGAACGTGACCCTCCTATTTTACTTTAAAGTGAAAATGTTAGTTGTATCTTCTCTTCTCTCTGAGCACTAGCTGACCAAATGGCACAGGATGGCACAGGATGGCACGGTGGAGGGGAANCTGGACTTTTATGCTTCAAAGTTTTTCTATCTGGAACAGATATTAGGGAACAGAACGTGACCCTCCTATTTTACTTTAAAGTGAAAATGTTAGTTGTATCTTCTCTTCTCTCTGAGCACTAGCTGACCAAATGGCACAGGATGGCACAGGATGGCACAGGATGGCACGGTGGAGGGAAGGAGAATTAAAATGAGGGAGGCTCTAAAAAGGCAGGGGGGACTTGGGATGCACAGTCCTATGATTGGCTCTCACAGATTTATGTGACCCTTGTTATTACATCGGCATTTGTTTTAGCAAGTAGCGTTGGTAATAAATGGAACACAATAGGTAAGTACATTCCAAGTTACTCCTTTACATGGTCTTTTCGGGGCTGTCCCATCCTCACCACTCCCATTTAAAATCGAATCTAGACACCACTTATGAATAAAAGAATCAGAAGGCCCTATACTCCCCACCTGGCGGACTCCATTTAAATTTTTAGATTCCGGGCCTTAATGTTTCATTTATGAAATGAGAGAGAATGACCTAAATTGAATATAGGGTATCTTTTATTGTTAAAGTCTATGAATGAAAAAGAAATGGTTACACTAGANCCTAAATTGAATATAGGGTATCTTTTATTGTTAAAGTCTATGAATGAAAAAGAAGTGGTTACACTAGAAAATTACTTCCTAATTCACAAAGCCCTTTAGAAATATTTAGTTCAAAATTGATCTATTGAACATTAACACCGGGGTAATTATTGCATAGTGCTGTAAATGACTCGAATGGTACGGTGATTTGGCTGGAAATCAGTTTACAAATACTTTACTTAGCTGCCTTTTTCGTGTTATTGTCATCTTGCACTTGCAGAGTGCAAACACCCACACTCATAACCCCTGGGCAGCGTAACATAGCTGCTGTTGTAGGAACAATTATAACACCAAAGACAGAAGACTTTAAGGGACTTGACCACCTTTGAGGCTGTATGTCCTTCCTTTTGTCTTTACCAAGTGTCCTGTGACTTTCCCATCTTCCAAATGCCTTACTAGTATTATATGCTACTTCGACTTCCAACATGAATGATCTCTTTAGCTTATCAGCAGAAGAAGAAAGACTAGCCTTCGCCATCGTAAGAATGTGTGCTTAAGTTTTCATTTGAGGATTTACAACAAAATCTTTCCATTTAATCCCTCTGCAGGCATTGCTTCAAACATCACATCCTCCCACCGTATTCTTAAAAACTCTTTAATATGTCCTGAAAGACCGCCCCCCGGCCCGGGTGTACGCAGGTTTTCATTCTGTGAGCATGCTGGCTGTTTGCCTTAGAGAGAGCGCCGCGACCTTATACAATAGACGTGAACTTGCTGAGAATTCTAAAGACATCACACTTCTCAAAAATATGGTGGCAACGGCACTGAAGCTAGAAACGTGTCTGAAAAACTCAAGTAACGCCTCTCCTTCCCCTCACCGGTCCTTGCAGGGCATCCTAGAACGGTTAAACGCTGGCGAGGTCGTGATTGGAGATGGAGGGTTTGTCTTTGCCCTGGAGAAGAGGGGCTACGTGAAGGCAGGCCCCTGGACCCCGGAGGCTGCCGTGGAGCACCCAGAAGCAGGTTGGTGACGCCCGCCCAAGCTCTCATAAGGGCGCTGTGTAGACGCGGGCCTGGTGCGCAGGTGGGATGTTTATGAAAGGCCTCGGCGGTGCTGGCGGGCGTGTGGCTCACCTGCTGGAGAAGCGCGACGGCCCCTGCTGGCGCCGTTTGCCTCTTCATCCCTGGCCCTCGCTCCGGAGGAGTCTGGTATCTGGCTCGCTGCCTTCCTCTCTGCCCTTGCCTCCCTCCCTCGCCTCTCCAGGCGACTTCAGTGTGCATCGCGATGACCCATCCGGCTTTCTTTCCGTTGGTGCCTGGGTCTCCGCCGCATCCCCAGCTGAGCTCTGCCTCCAGCGCCGCCCCGCCCCCGGCACGCCGAGGCCTTGCCCTGGTCAATAGCCGTCCGTCTCTGAAACCGCAATGACCAGCCCTCACTGTCTGACCACCACCGCCTCTCTTTCCTGCTCACTCTCCTGCACTGCCAGCCCTCAGCCCCAACAGGGCTCTCAGCCCTCCTTCCTGCTACCTTCTCGTTTATTATCCATTCTCCTGCACGTGTGCACCTTCCCGCCTTACCCCCTTTCGGTTCAACGGTTCGTATCAGTCACGGTCTTGCCCATAGGCCCTCCTCCTCTGCATAGCTGCTGACTAGTTCAGTGCATTGTATTTCAATGCACCCTATTTAAATTCAGCTTTCTACCTGGCCTGCGCCTGTACCCACATGCCTTATTCTCACTTTACTTTTTTGACCACAAATCTTTTACGGCCAGGAAGGGAGGTGGGATGGAACCTGAGGGAGATTATATGCATATAGATAATACCTCCCAGTTATATATGTACAGAGCATAGCTAGATATTACCCTTGTAAATTTACTTGAGAAATGCAAGTCTTTGGAATTCCACAGTGAACTCTGAAAGGTCAAATAAAATTTTGCAGTATTTCTTCAGTGGGATAATAAATTTACAGCAAAATCATTTGGGGGCAAAATGTGACCTGAACTAATGTGAGGATATTTATCATTGTATCCCATTTAGTGTGGTTAGCCATATATTTTGATGCAAAATAAATATTAATGTGTTGGATTGGGGGGGGGGCTACTGCTTCAGACCCTAATGAGAGTGCTAGGTAATATATAGCATGTAGACTGTATTCCCTTTCTAAAATTCCCCAAATTTTGGATGCAAAGACACATTTGGTCCCAAAATGGCTTGGATCAGACCTGTAGCATAACCTTCCCTTTCTCACCATTTCCAGCACTAAAAAGTGAAGCCCAGGCACCAGTCCTCCAAAAACATTTCAGATGCAGTACAGCTTCCCAGGAAACTTTTTGGGGTCTATCTCAGTTCTAGCCATTGCCCAGCCTAAATTAGAAAAGCACCTGCAGGTGTGCAAATTCATTTGCGTAAAATAGCATGAAAACTGACCACCGCTCTCTTTCAGAGTGTGAATTCTTTAAACACCTTTCATTTCCCCCAGATGCTAAATACATGCCCTGCCCTATGAGGCACTTAGAAGACTACCTAGCAAATAGTGACCATGATGATGACTTGCCTTTAAGATTAATAAGAATAAAATTCAATTAAAGTGACTACAGAAATCATGTCTTTCTGTATTCTCTCAGTTAACAGATAAATGTAACACGAGTAATTATTTAGACATTAAAAATGGACACTTGTCCTCAAGCAGCCCCAGTGCTGTAGGGACGCAGACTCAGGGAATTCTGACACTCCCTTTCCATCATAGAGATGAAGAAATTGTCACCTTGATGGGGCAGGTAAATGGCTGGGCCAAAGTCACACAGTTGATTGTAGCTGAGTCAGAAAGATTCCAAGTTCACCGACCTCTTGTGCCCATGACCTTTTCCCTACACGATGCCTCATTTAAAAATGGTAAGGATGTAAGAATTTGTAAGCTCAACCCAGTCCAGCGACGGGGTAAAGTTAGCTTCTGTGATGCTAAGATAAAACTAGTAAATGAAGAGCTTAAAGCCATAACACGAATGTAATGAATCAGTATAGCTGTGTCCTTGTCATAGAGACCAGTCACATTCTATTATTGGTTAGTGGATGGAGACTCGGGAGTCTTATGAGGAGACAACACAGAAAATAGAAATTGGAAGGATACCCAGAAATCACCAGAACTAATTCTCCTACTGAAGTTTATGCCAAAAGCTGTGGTTCTTCCACCCAGTGGGATTGGCATTGAATTCAGCAAGGAATTGGGGTTTGCTGGGTCTGGAAGGGTCTAAAGCATCTGAATTCATGACAGTTGTCCCCACGTGAGTCTGAGTTGGATCACATCTTGAGAAGCGCTGCAGTGTTCAGCAGCTCCGTGTAACAATCAAGTCAATTAAGAACAGGGAGCTGGGTCACTGCCCTCTGGAAAACTCTGATAAAAGTGTATGAACTGTCTGCGCTGTAAAATGTACATCTACACAAACAATTAGCACACCATTCCAGGACCTTCTCACAGAGTCTCTGGAAATGCACCCAGGGACACCCTGGGGGGCTCCCTGTTATAAACCGTGTTACTCCGGTGTACAGGCACCTGGTCTGCAGGCCCTGCGCCCCTGCTCCAGCAGCAGCCGCTCATCTGACTCATAGGGGGACTCCAAAGAAGGCGTTTCTAATTGGTTTGGTTCTGTGGCTAATTAAAACAAGTTTGAGGCCCCGTGATTTAGGCATCCTTTTAAATTCCCACTGAGAACTAAAGTTTCCATGATTGTGAAAACAAAGATTTGGCTTCAAGCTTGGAAACCCATTTTCTAAAATTCAAAAGCTTTCTTGCCTCATTTATTTGTTTATTTAAAAACAAAAGATGAGCTTCCTACGTTCTCTGTGGTCTATTAGGCACTTGGGATACAAAGATGCCAGACTCATCTCCAGTCTTAGCCCCTCAGGGCTAAGAGCTCCAGTGTCCTAATAACTTCCTGACTTCCAGACCGTTGGGTTTTACAGGCCTCTGAAATTTCAAAATAAATTTCAGGGACTGACACCAGATTGCTGATTTCTTTCTTTGCCCAGTGAATTCCCCTGACAAAAACAAACACCAGCTAAGTCTATCATTTTACAAAATGAACATTTTCCACTCTCTTAGAATGGTGGTGGTTCTCAACAAGGCTGAAAATAAGAATTTGTTGGGAAACCTTAAAAAAGAGAGCCTGTGCCCTGCCCCAAACCAGTTAAATCAGAATATCTGTGGGATTACCCTAGCATCCATAACGTTTAAAAAGCCTGTAGGGGATCCATTGGGCAACCAGGGGTTAGGACCCCTATTTTAGAGCAAAGGATAGATAATTCTTTAAACTGAATACATTTGGTTATATGGAAAAAATTCCTATCATGATTCCTCTACCCTGGGAAAGCTTTGTCATTTGGCGCTCACCCACGGACACGTTTGGGAACCTTGCTCCAGTACTTAGTCCACTCGCTTTTCGGAAACACTGAGCTAATCCCATCCCTCAGTGGCTTACGAACGGCTGGTTTTGCCCCCGCACCTGTGGCTGGAGCCTGGGCTCCTCACTCTGCCAGCCAGCCCACCTCTCCACCCGCATCTCCTTCGCTTCTCCAACACGCCCTCCCCTCCAGCTGCTCAGGCTCCTCCTGCCCCCGCCAATGCCACGCCTGTTCCTGCCTCCTTGACCTCGCTAAGGCCGTTCCCTCTGTGGGGAATGCCCTTCCCTACCTCCGCTACCTGGCAAAAAGCGCTGAAACGATCCCCCTCTCTGGGACCTCCCTCGCTCCTTCACCCCGCTCCATGGGAGAAATCTCTTCTCCCTGGCGAGAGGCCCCGGGTGTCACGCGGGAATTTAAGCAGCTATGTCCCTGTTATCTTGGAGCCTTTTGAAACCGTGGCGGGTTAAGAAGCCCCCAGCCATGAATGCCTCTCCTGTTCCCCCCAGTCCGCCAGCTTCACCGCGAGTTCCTCAGAGCCGGGTCCAACGTCATGCAGACCTTCACCTTCTACGCGAGCGAGGACAAGCTGGAGAACAGGGGCAACTACGTGGCAGAGAAAATATCCGTGAGTACAGCCGCGTGGCACCGGAAGGCTGGCAGACGCTCATCATGCGCAGGGTTCTCACAGAGAGGTGTCGAGCCTCCAAAGAGCGTTGTCTCACTTTAAATACGACAGCAATGAGATGTGTGGCTGATGCGTAGGTTTAACCCGGGGTCCCCCAGGGCGGCGGAAAGGCATTTAATGATGAACGATTCTCTCGGGCCCCTGACCGACTGCTGGGTGGGCATCCTTACAAACTGTCATCTTCGCGGGCTTTGGAAGGTGGCACAGTGTAGGGGAAAGGTCGTAGGTACAAGAGGTCAGTGAACCTGGAATCCTCCTGACTCAGCCACAATCGACTGTGTGCCGCTGGGCAAGCCACTTACCTGCCCCATCAAGGCCTCAGCTTCTTCACCTCCAGCAGGGGGAGAGATTTCAAAATTCCATGAATCTGTGAGCCCTGCACTGGAGGTTTTGGGGACATGTTCATTTTTAATGTCTAAATATTAGAAAAGACCTTACTTGTGATACATTTATCTGTTAATTGAGAAAATACAGAAAGACAAAAAGTCATGAATTCTGTAGTCACTTTCATTGAATTTTGTTTTTATTTGTCATAAAGACAAACGAGCCTCATTATCACCCCTGTTCCTCTGAGTGCAGCTGAGGCATTGGAAGGCCCCATGTGAAGACTTTTACCCTCTCACAGATCTTTGGTATATAATGGAACATCCTAGATGCCATCGTTAGGTTTATTTTCTTATCACTATTATTGATGTTATTGTTACTGCAACTTGCTCAACCTGGTAAAGCTTCGAGCGCTTCCATCACTGTCATTGTCTGGAATCAGATCGCTAGCGTAGCGCACAACTGAGGTGTGGACATTTGAATACGAATTTTGTTTCAATTTCACATAAAAATGTGGATGTATCACATACCCACCATTTTAGGGGCAGAAAGTCAATGAAGCTGCTTGTGACATTGCCCGGCAAGTGGCCGACGAGGGGGACGCCTTGGTGGCAGGAGGCGTGAGTCAGACACCTTCCTACCTCAGCTGCAAGAGTGAAACGGAAGTTAAGAAAGTATTTCAGCAACAGTTAGAGGTCTTCCTGAAGAAGAATGTGGACTTCTTGATCGCAGAGGTAAGCAAAGACGTAACCAGAGATGAGACACGGACACTTAATACGCTTTCTCTGCCCTCCGCTTGCATGAGGACCATGTGAGAGTAGGTGCCAATCATGACGAGTAATAACAATGTTTAGTTTCAAAGTCTTTTCCCAGTTTAGGGCTCCCCTAAATTTGATTCAGTTAATCTAACACAATGTTCCTCAAACATTCTGACTGCAGTTCACAGTAAGAAAGCACCATTCTGTTTCTTTTAAAAATGCCAATGGTTCTCAATTTCACATTCTCGATTTTCAAAATATTTTAAATGCAGAGTTTGAAAATCACTCATCCAGTGATAATTTAATTATTAAGCAATGGAATAAGTTTTCAAATTGTTCTAGAGAAACAAGGCTAAAAGCTCCTTACCCTTGCCGTATTTCAGTATTTTGAACATGTTGAAGAGGCCGTGTGGGCGGTGGAAGCCTTGAAAGCCTCCGGGAAGCCAGTGGCAGCGACCATGTGCATCGGCCCCGAGGGAGACCTGCACGGCGTGACCCCCGGCGAGTGCGCAGTGCGCCTGGTTAAAGCAGGTGATGATGGATTTTGATCAGTTTGCAATTAGTGAGTCTTTTAAAATAACATACAAATGCAGGTCCATCTGTGGATCACTTACTACTTTTATTAACAGGAAAACCATTAATTTACTTTTTTTTAGGAATATTAATATTGTTGAGTCCTAAGTGTTAAAAACATAAAAAGACGCACACACATACCAGCCTTTTGAAAGGAGCAACTAGGCTTATGCTAAAGGTTTAACAACTAGGAATGAGAAGAACTTCGGTAACTCCGAAGGAGCATTTGGAAAAATTGTGTTTTATTTTAAACTTATCTCAAGTTGAGGTCTTTAAACATTAATAACTTTTAAATCAGTTTCCCTGCCTGCCAAAGTTTTTCCACTCTCATAAAATTACTGGTATGCTTTGCTTTTTGTGCCCGATATAATAAATTTTAAAAACCCTTTGATATGAAATACTGACAACCTAGTTTATCTTTTTATATAATTTTCATCCCTAATACTGGGTTTCACTTCAATTAGTGAGAATGCGGATGGTTTTCAAAGCTGCCTCGTTTTGTCTGAAACCCAAGGAATAGCTCAGTGTCAGTGGGAGAGTCCAGCTCACCCTGTGGAATAGAGACTGTGATTGGCTATTTGTTTAATTCCTGATTTTTATCCAACTCCTGCTATTTTATGGAAGTCACTTCATACTTGTCATTGACAATAACAATTATCTAGATTTAGGAATGAAGTTATATAATACTAATTTTTGCTTGGTAATATAAAAATGGGGGGAGAAGTTAACTTATTTCTAAAAGATCAGAGCAGGCCTTCATCATCACCATTGGCAAGGATTCTTGGCCTGCATCTCATCCTTCCCTTACCATTCTGTCCAGAGTAGGTGGCTACAGTGTTTGAAATCACTGTACCCTACTTATGTCCTTTGTAGCACTTCCCACTTATCTCACTTGTTTCTCTTTAATGTCTGACTCTCACTAGATTGTAAAATCTAAGAGGGCAGGCACTCTCTTTGTCTCAGCATTGAGGGCCCTGTGCCTAGCACATAATAGGTCTGTAATAAATATCTGTCTAATAAATCTATCTAATATCCATCGAATAAGCCTGTCTTCCAATGTTAGTTCGAACTCTACCTCCATTTACCCTTACATAATCATCCTTACCCCCACGTATCAATCCCTCCTCTCAGGAACTAGAACATTGTTTATACCCCTCATTTGGAATATCCTCAGTCAACATTTTCTAGCCTGTGGGAATGTTAATAGGGTTCTATAGTCAAATACATTTAGAAAATGCTATGTTAAACCAAGTTAAGCAGGTCTCTCTACTACAGACCTTTTCAGAGCCTTTGATATGTTCAGGTATATTGACAGTATCCTAGAAGGGGACATAGCTACTGCCTAACTTAATGGATCATAGAACCTTATTTTCATGGAGCAAACCTTGGAAAGCCCTGTGCTAAATTATAAAATTCTTGGTGTCAGGAACTACATCCTATGTTTATATTTCTCTAGAACTCCTTACAATGGCCCTTATACCTAATAGATATCCCCAAAATAGCCAACATATGATTAATTCATTAGCAGAAGGAAGTCAAGCAAGGAGAGAAAAATTCTGGCAACAGATCATCCAAAAGGGGGAGGTGGGGAGAAAGGTAGTCAAGATCCAAGAGAAGATGTTAAGTAAGCTGTTGAATATACAATTCTGGACCTGAGAATTGTGAGGTTAGAGAGAGAAGTTTAGGAGAGTTCTGGATATAGATGGTATTGAAAGCCCCGAGACTGAAAAGGAGATGTAGTTGAAGAGCAGAATATGGCTCAGTGGGACCCTGGGAAACTGCAGGATTGAAAGGTTTAGCCTTGAGGAGGGGTGGGCACATAATACCCACTAAAAGCGGCCAGGGAGGTAGGAGCAACACTCAGGGAGTATGGAAAGTTCTCAGAAACCAAAAGAAGGAGAGTGTTGACGAAGGAGGGAGGGGCCTGATAGATCCAATGCTGCTGAGAGGTAGAGTAAAATGAGAACAGAGAAGCAATTACTGGGTTTAGGTCATGGGTTCCCCTATGAAAGCTGCCTCAGAGGAATGACCAGGAGGGAGTCCTGACTGCAACAAGAATGCAGAGCAAACGGCAGACCCAGCCCAGGGAGGACCACTGGATGCCACAGCTTGTGGCATCAGCTCTGCTCCGGACTCTGCTTTAGTGATATTATTAAATCGGCCTGAGGAGAGGGGACCTTGACGTATCCCTCAGATGAGCGGTGTGGTAGCCATGGGTGTCACCTAGCAGCGGGGACTGCTGAAAGGTTACTGTGCTTGCAACATAATGTCAGAGATTGAAAAATTGACTGCTGCAATTTGAAGTTAAAAACCCTCTAATAATGACTTTTTTGGGGGAAAAGATGGACAGCCAAGTGTGCATAAATGACACTTCAATTATACCAGACTCTTCAAAGCACTTTTCACAGAAAGTACCTGCTGCCTGCTAGCAATTGTTCTCACCCAGAGGTAAAGAGAGATTTGCAGGAAGCATGGATCAAGCGCTATGCCTCCAGATGCACCGTTCCAAATGAAAGCTCCCTGATGGAGAGAGGAGAGTGGGCCTCCAGGTATGCTGGTGGATCCCTATAGTTAAAATGTCCTTCCCACTCACAGGAGCTGCCATCGTGGGTGTGAACTGCCACTTCGACCCCACAATTAGTCTGCAAACAGTGAAGCTCATGAAAGAAGGCCTGCAGGCAGCTGGGTTGAAAGCCCACCTGATGAGTCAGCCCTTGGCCTACCACACTCCCGACTGCGGCAAACAGGGATTTATCGACCTGCCAGAATTCCCCTTTGGTAAGACACATTCCATACACTGTCTCGATGTCTTTACGTTTGACAGATTCCAAATAAATCTAGAGCTTTATCATAGTGAAGAAATGTCTGCCTATCTCATCTCCAGCCCCCAGCTTTTCTCTCTGCAGCCACAAATCCCTTGATATTAGACAGGCGTAGAAGGAAAGGCAAAAAAGACCTAAACTTAGATGTAAAACCAAAGTTGAATCAAGACCTAGATAGGCGACCAGTCAGTCATACTTGTAGGCTGGTAAAAAGGATGCCCTCACGGGTGGGATCAGCAAAGATTTTCGTTCTGGTTCCAGCTCTGTTGCTGAGTCGTGTAATCTTAGCAAAATTCCTTAGTTCCTCTAAATCTTAATTTTCTCATCAGAAAAATAAAGTTAGAACCAGGTCACCTCCAAGATCCTTTTCTTCTATTCTGAATGTTGCTCAGATACTCCAGAGCTTTAGGGTGGAGGGAAGACACCGTCCCTGGGCTACTGCATGACAAATTTGATGAAGAGACCAGGCAGATGAAGTGAGGGCGTACTCGCAGTCTAGGCAGAGGGATGACGTCTTTTAGTGTGTTTTTGAAGTGGGGGTGAGTCTACCTTGAAAATCAAGGCCAGAGGTATCAGCAGAGCCAGAGCATGGCCAGCCTCCTGTTCCATTCTAAGCACATTTTGTATCCTATAGGGGCCCTTGGAGAAGTAAAGTATTATAAAATCACTCTAGAAGAACCATGGAAGGAGAATGACAATGCATTTGTGTTCTTTATTGCTGTATAACAAATTACTGCGAAACTTCGTACCTGCGATCTCAGTTTCTGTGCATCATGAATTCAGGAGCAGCTTAGCTGGGTGGCTTTTGCTCAGGGGCTCTAAAAATGTCGCATCCCAGGCGTTGGCCAGAACTACAGTCATCTGAAGGCCTGATGGGAGCTGGGGGATCTACCTCGAAGCTCTCTCAGTTGGCTGTTAGGGGTCAGTGTTAATTTTTTGCTGTCTGTTGACTGGAGGCCTCAGTTCCTCAGCTCATGGGCCTTCCCACTGTGACGCTTGAGAGTTCCCGCAGCGTGGCATCTGGCTTTCCCTAGGGTCAGTGTTCTAAGAGAGCACAGGGCAGAAACCATAATGTCTTCTACAATGCAGCCTCAGAAGTCGGAGACCACCCCTTCGGCCATACTCCACTGGTCTCGCAGACCAACCCGATAAAATGCAGGAGGGGGCTACCCAAGAGTGCGAACACCAGGGGGCGGGGTTCCTCCTGAAGCCTGGCTACCACAGCATTTCACACTGGACACGGGGACGCAGAGTAGCTAGCCCTTTTGAAAAGTTAAGAATATTTAAAACGTATTTAACTCATTTATTGAAGATCACGTACTTATTATCATTGTTTATGTTAAATATATATATATATATAAATATTTAATTTGGGCATAATGCCATTTATTGCAGGACTGGAGCCCAGAGTTGCAACCAGGTGGGATATTCAAAAATACGCCAGAGAGGCCTACAACCTGGGGGTCAGGTTCATCGGCGGGTGCTGTGGATTCGAGCCCTACCACATCAGGGCAATTGCGGAGGAGCTGGCCCCAGAAAGGGGCTTTTTGCCACCAGCTTCAGAAAAACATGGCAGCTGGGGAAGTGGCCTCAACATGCACACCAAACCCTGGGTTAGAGCCAGGTAAGAACCTTTACATTATATTTGCCAAACCAAACTTTCGTAGGTTGTGGATATGTCCAAGTGAGGTTGTCGTAAAGAGTGTGGCTGATTTGCTGAGTGATGATAGTCAGTTACCCTTAAATTCTCTCACAGAGACATCTGTAAAACATCCTGATGGAGCGATTTCTAGAGAATTCCTTAGGGATAGAGGACATAAGTAATGTAAGTTGCAGTGAAATGCGACCGCATGCTCTAGGAGGGCACCATCCATGTGGTGGACACTGACACTGAATCAGTTGATTGTTTAAGATTTAAGTATAACTTAAATATAACAAATATTATTTAAGCGCCTGTTCTGTGCCAAGCACAATTCTCGGAGCCAGGAATGGAGTGGTGGGTAAGATGGAAAAGGTCTTTGCCCTCAAAGCTTACATTCCAATGGAGAAGATGAACAATAAACAAATAGCTTTTATGTTACGCAGTGTGTAGGGCACTAGGAGTAGAGGAATGAAAAGCTGTGGCTGAAAGAAGAAGGGAGGGAG